GGAATGTCATATTTTAAACTAGTGAAAATAACAACTTTTAGGAAGCGAGAAAAGGTGATTCATAGATGATTACATGATAATGAATTCTCGTCCTATAAATTGAAATGAACCAACAGTAATTTCTTTTTGTATTACTGATAGTTTTGTGTTCAACTAACTCTACTTGGCTTTGCTGAATTCACACTTCACCTAACAAGACTTGGGCCAGAAATGCTTCAAGTTGCCCAGGATAGCGGTCGTCTTACAGTTACCTACTTTAGATTTGAAATCGACGATTCTAAAGGTAATTATCAGTCGACGTACAGCAATCTAGAACCGGCGGGGGGGGGGGGGGGGGGGGGGGGGAGAGGGGGGGCTAAATCGGGACGGGACATCTTTCGAGAAGCGCCAGATGAATTAGACGAATGTTTTCAAAATGGAGGCCAAATTATTGAAATCAAAAAGTGTTATTACCGTATTTACTCGAATAGACACCGCCCCGATTAGACGCCGCCCTCAAACAGACGCCGCATCTGGTTGCGGCGTCATTTTGAGGAAATAATGATACCAGCCAGAACTACATGTACTTGTGTACCAGCAATGGGAATTTATTTTCTTTTAGAGCATTTTTTATTTCGAAGTGTACTTTTTGCTCTCTGCAGCTGTTAGATTCCGACCACGAGGATAAATACTGATGTTGAAATAACTCTGGTTAAAATCTTAAATTGAATAGACAAAATGAACACGACATTTAAATATTGCGATTCGTTACTCTTTGTTAGAAAAAACATATATAAAGTACGGTATGTGTAGTACTGAATAAAGTGTTTCTTTAATAAACGCCTYCCTCGAATAAACGCCGCAACTGGATCGTGAAAAATGAAATAAACGCCGCGGCCTCTATTCTAGTAAATACGGTACTTTATTCTCTTGTAATTGATCGACTGTAGGCGAACTAGATGCCAATAGACCAGTACCTTTCCGTCTAACGCCAAACATTGCTGAATTTGTTACACCGGTTGGTGTCAATGGYGTCATGACTTCTGCTATGGTGGCTGCTGCTCGATGTTTGGTTGAACCTCAGTTCAGTATACAAAGTATATTACGAGCTGTGATTAGAGACGAGATGATAACGTGGCATAAAAAGGTTAGTTGGTTTTTGTGTTACCATTCTGAAGGGATTACATATTTATCTTGAAATGGGTTCCCTTTGTTACAAAATAATAAATTAAGGTGTATTCAGTAGTTGTGATAGAACGTGTCATTTTGATGACGGTGCAGAGAACCAAGTTGAACTTCTCTTAAGTGGCATAGCTTTGAGTTAGACTATAAACTCGGATGTTCCCCATGCGMCAGTTCCACTCAGCCACTCTGCTTAGGTTAGTCGCCTTGTGTCAGTGTAGACAATATGTTRTATTACAAAAACGCAATGCTATTCATACATGATTTAGAGAGCGATCGGTATAMATMGTCAACTACGAGAAGTACTTGATGGACATTTTATAAATTAAAATATAAAAGTGGACAGAAAATTTACCAGGAAAGATATATGATTATGATTCCGTTAAAATCATATGTATCCTGCTCTACACAGTATCAAGCACTCTAATGAAAACTGGAATACCGACCACTGATAGTATATTCAATTCTATATTTTTCATATTTATGAAATTTTATCAAATTTATATATTTATATATCAATTATTGTAACTTTAACGTAATTCAGCCTTTTGGCTGCCAAGTTATTTGAATAAAACTATCTATCCATATCTATCTCCCGATTATTTGAGTAGATTGAAATATGTCCCTTGACTAGGTGTACCATATCATGAGTCTTCCATATATGAAATAGAAATTATAGAAAGATATAGTGCTTGAGAARAAGGTTATTCCAGTCGAAAGATCCTTGGAAGTATATGCAGTTTTTACTTTTCATTATAGTTTTAAACTGTCGACGGTACTACAAGTCGGACACTTAGGCCTAGACCATATGAAAAAGGGCGTGGCTATTGTAACGCCTTAKTTTATATGATTTTTATTGTATCATTGCTACCCGTTGAAAGAACTTATTACAGTGAATAAGATCTGAACGTTTCAATGCTGTAACACTTAAGGACCAGAAATTACAGGTGTTTGAAATTGCAAAGGTTTGAGTGAAAATCAGTATTGAGGCCTTACTAGCCTCGTTTTCACGTTTTTGGTACGTTTTAAGTCCTCGTAGCTCTGCCAACATTTTAACATTTGAAACTAAAAATACACCAATTAACTAGTTTAAATATACTCTTTCCTAATGTGAAAACAGAGTTTTAAAAACATGGACCGTTTAAGGTGCTCATTCCCAGTCTTCTKCTCGTTTTTCATATGGTCAGTTGTTTTTCCCAGAACTTAGTTTAGTCATAAACTCCTCTGAGGCGCCTCTTTTGCTTTCCGCTCTTCTTTATACTCCCAGAACTCCTGTCTTCCTCAATCTGACCGAGGAAGACGATACCAGAGATCCCAGATCCCAAAAGCACAATGAAGTGTTAAAGTGCTACTTGCATGAAAATGGCCTTATTTCAAAACTTCAAGCAATACAATTATATGACTCATTGATATCAATTAAAAACAATTGCGGGAAAATATTTGTTTTAGAATTATCCCACATCAGATAAATTTTGATTCAAAAGATGGAAGAACAAAGGGATTGAGTAGATGACATGAAATGAAGTCATCTACTTCAACATTTTTTGCCCAAATTATCAAGGATTTGTATCAATATCTTCTTGAAATCTGCTGCTTCATGATTATTAGACCCATATGAATAGGTCTATTTGATTTCCAAGTCTTTTCTTAAGATTCGAAATTTTCGTCCAAGTAGCCCTTTAACTACAGGAGGCTAGTTCATCAGGTTTTATTTGGTACATACASTATATAGAAATGAAAGAAAGTTATAGTGCTTAGAAGGAGGCAATTCCGGGAGAAAGACCCTTAGGAATAAATTCGAACCCACGACCTTCGGATTTGTACTACCGATGCTCTAYCAGCTGAGCTACAAGGTCAGACTGGGAGCAGGTCGGGGTGAATTAGATGTTAGTTTGTGGTACAACCCTTTGCTGYCTTTCTTTAGCTAACTTCCGGGAAGGACCAATATCCGAAACGTCATGTCTTCTTCGTTTAGCGTTGTTTGTGTCTAAAGTGCATTTAAAATTGTTTCCTTAATTTTCATTCTTTGACATTTATATTTATAGAAGCAAGACGACACTCATCCATTGGCCGTGGTATCGTCTCCTTCTGACATGGACAGTGAACTACTAATAACCCTTGTCAATGGCGCCGTTAATGCTATAACAACTAGACTACAAAGTAAGCAGGAGTCACATCCAGGGTCTTTTGATTTCTGCTCGGGGGAAATAAGCTTTCCGTTCGTGCTAGTTTTCTCCGGCCCTGACTCAAGAGATGCTGTGTTTGCGGAGTGCTTGTGATTTCTGTACAATTTATCATTTAGTTTAACACTGAAACGCTTTTGATGTTTTTGTTCAGATTTAGCCCAGTATGAAGGAGGGGAAACTAAAGTTTCAACTTTGATTCAAGCTGCCACAAGTGCTGATAATCTGTGCCGCATGGATCCTGCATGGCACCCCTGGCTATAGTTAACAAATATCTAAATACATGCAATTGACGTACTAAACGTTTTAACCAGCAAAACGTTTCTTAGACTATTCTGCTTTAGAATCCAATTTGAAAACGAAATGAAGGTCACCGGTTTAAATACTACACTCGGCCAGTTTATATGTTTATTCTAGTCAAACACCAGCTACTGTCTATGGATGTATTTTGTATACGAAGACTTTGTGAAATACGATTAGTTATTTATTTTACGGCATTTTAGTAACAAATTAATTAAAAACATTTTGTAATCAAAGTAGTTGTAGAATGTATAAATGCGTGTATAGTAGATAGATGGCTGGTTACCCAATGATTATCTCAACATCGGTAAGGGGTATAATGATTTACATCGACCTCGTTATCAGGGCTTCTCTGCTCGCAATTTTCAAAATGGTGTGTACTCATAAATATGTGCAATGCATTTGGTTGGTTGGTTGACCGACCGACCGACCGACTGACCGACCAAATGATTGATTGATTGATTGAAAATGATGAGACAATATTCAGCTTTCGTAAAAATTTGCAGCCAACAGCTAAGCATCGCAACCGTAGAGCTCAACTCGTAATGCACTTCGGAAAAATTTTGTGAGGGGATAGAAGCGTACAAATAGCGCGACAAAAGGCGTAGAGATGTTGTGCGTCACCACGTTATTTCTGTTGCTGTTCCCAAGAAAGATCTAAAAATGTCAAGGAACAATTAGCGTCAGCYWTTTATTAGCGGGTGAGAACTCAAGTTATCAACTATGATCAAGAATTTTTATCTACGGAGGTAGAAAATTGTGGATGATTATTTGTTAAGTTCAATGCAAAAGCTATTTGATAATTTACACATAGATTTGAGGCTAAGCCAGCTTGCACTGGTATTTTGGGATTAGGGACTGTGCAATAATTACCAGGAGGGAGGGCATAAAACCAGAGGGGGGCATTACATAAAATTGATGGCAAGATAGGGGGGGATCAAAGTAAAATTACCTATAATTAACAGAGGGTGGGGCTTAAGTTTCAAAATTTTCATAATTTTCGATGTCTCTCAAAACGCTKGAAATCGAGTTATTTATTTCAAAATTTTCTGGGGAAGGTCCAGACTTCCTTAATACTCCCGCCTTTGGCGGTCGTTAGACCCCCAGATCCAAATATGTGTCGCGGTCCCTGACATGTGCATAAAAAGTCCACGCTTCGCGCCTGACYAATGGAAATCTAAATTCAAAGACTAGTTGATGTAGGATTGAAATTGACCAATTGATTTTTCAATTTTGTCACATAAACTAAGGATCGTCACATAAATTGAAGATGTAGAAGCTGAAAAATATATTGATGATTTATTAGACATAACAAGCGTAAGTAAGAACAAAGTCGTTGTTGACCATTAAAACGTTACATAACCCTTTTGGACCTTGAAAACCTTTGACAGGAACAAAATTATTTGAAAGAAGCAAGGGCGCCACATTTGCTTGTGAGATTTTCAACAATGTAGCCAAATCTTTACCCAGGAACAAATTCATACAAGAACAGTTATTTAGCAGAACAGACCCCGTCAGCTCCTCACCTGAAAAGTTTTTGTCTTTACACTTAGATCTTAGTAAGCCACCTCTTGCATCTGGGTTCGTCTTTAGTGAATTTTGCGTTACTACAGTTACAGTTACTACAGACTCGATTAATTTTCTTCTTAAGAAATCTGGTTTACGGCCCCCCTCCTGGTAATTATTGCACAGTCCCTTATTATTATTATTTTTTGGATTGAGGTATTTTTCTGTCGAATACCCCATGCTCCCAAAACTGAATTGCTTCATTTATCAACTTGATTGATTATAACAACAAATGCCAAACGAAAAATTAAAATCAGCTGTGTCAGAGCAGATCTTCGCACGTGGCCCCACTAGTGCGATGCTGTATTGAAATCACCGCGCAAACGAATTCGACAGCATTCAACATTTTCAGAACAAAAGAAATGTTGAACGGATGTTGATACAAATATTGAAAGCACCGTAACGTTTGCACCGAGCTGGTCATTTTGTAGCGTCACTTATATAGCAACAATGCATTTTGACCGCAGAGCTGACAGGAGTCAGTTTNATGATTTATTAGACATAACAAGCGTAAGTAAGAACAAAGTCGTTGTTGACCATTAAAACGTTACATAACCCTTTTGGACCTTGAAAACCTTTGACAGGAACAAAATTATTTGAAAGAAGCAAGGGCGCCACATTTGCTTGTGAGATTTTCAACAATGTAGCCAAATCTTTACCCAGGAACAAATTCATACAAGAACAGTTATTTAGCAGAACAGACCCCGTCAGCTCCTCACCTGAAAAGTTTTTGTCTTTACACTTAGATCTTAGTAAGCCACCTCTTGCATCTGGGTTCGTCTTTAGTGAATTTTGCGTTACTACAGTTACAGTTACTACAGACTCGATTAATTTTCTTCTTAAGAAATCTGGTTTACGGCCCCCCTCCTGGTAATTATTGCACAGTCCCTTATTATTATTATTTTTTGGATTGAGGTATTTTTCTGTCGAATACCCCATGCTCCCAAAACTGAATTGCTTCATTTATCAACTTGATTGATTATWACAACAAATGCCAAACGAAAAATTAAAATCAGCTGTGTCAGARCAGATCTTCGCACGTGGCCCCACTAGTGCGATGCTGTATTGAAATCACCGCGCAAACGAATTCGACAGCATTCAACATTTTSAGAACAAAAGAAATGTTGAACGGATGTTGATACAAATATTGAAAGCACCGTAACGTTTGCACCGAGCTGGTCATTTTGTAGCGTCACTTATRTAGCAACAATGCATTTTGACCGCAGAGCTGACAGGAGTCAGTTTTTTTAAATAGCGGTATATAATATTACCGATTGTCTATTGCTACACTCATATAGATTACGAAATAGCCACTCACCTCAATAACGCCATCAATTTTATATTGCGACCAGTCAAGTTCATCCATACTGAAATCTAGTAAATAGCTTGTTGTCCACCATTCGTGTTCAGGGCTTGCTTGAGTTGCTATGCGTGTTACCAGTCTTGCGCGAGGAGCAAGATTAACTTGAAGGTATGGTTTCTTGTCTAGAAGACCAGCAACCCACGACGATGGACCATTTAGACGAGCAAATTTTGCTTTGTATGTTATAAATGGAAACCACATACCCTCGCTAGACGCTGATAACTGGGAATCTGGTATACGACCATCTGATACGCCAAGGGAAAGTGAGGTGCACACTAAAATAATAATAACAATAACTATGACAAACAAATTGATGTACCTCAGGGATGGATCCAGCTGGTCGGTGCAGGGGGTGCGCACCCCCCCCCCCCCC